TATCTTCAGTTATGTCAAAACAATTGCAATCTACAAACACTCCATCACCATTGTCATGGTTACCATCATCGTTCGTTAGAACAAGTTCCTCCTTGCTGTTCATATCTCCAAATTGTTCTCCACCCTTTATAAGCAATAGATATCTCTCATCACCAAAATCTTCTTGGTTTTCAATTTCATTCGAAAAAGTTACACAATTTTTTTTTCTCTACAGACAAATACAACCACTTCACACTGTTGTCAAAATCAATGATAGTCGATACAGTTGGAGCCTTAGACATTATATGGATAAGAGCTGATATTTTGTATAGCCTTGTATCAACCTTCGACACCTCATTGACTTTATCATACAAGTCCACATAAGAAATTGTTTTCAAAATAGGAATATGCATTGTTTTTCATTTACCATTCCCTGCATATTTCCATTCTCGTGCAACTTCAATTGACTGCTCATATTCAATTTGATAAAAAATTGATATCCATACCACATGTATGGTGTCCATAACTGTAATTTGACATAAAAATTTTAAAATTTCATCGAATATCAAACTTTGTACAACACTGATAACGATATCATAACATTATGGGTTACAGAAAACGATGTATAAGTCATTATGCATAGTAGAAAACCAAATATATATATATATATATATACACAGTAGAACAACAAATAGAATAGTCAAACATGTGTTTACCAATGTACATTTCCCTTCAACTAATAGAAATTGTTACGTGTTCGCACACTTGGGCAACCCATCGGGGCCCACAGCTAACTCATGCTGAACCAGGTGGGACTCAATTCGAGGTGATTTACATAGTCGAGGCCCACAAATCGAGGTCCACAGATGCCTAGGCCCATATACACCGAAGCCCACTTCTCATAGCCTCATAAGGAGCTTCCGAAACCCATACGCCGAGGCCCTTTGAAGGTGGACGAGGCCCTATTTGCCGAAGCTCTTCAGCCGAGGTGGAAGCGTCCGAAGCACAAAGCAACAGCTTCCATACACACCTCTCCCAAGAGATCTTCTGCGCAAAGATCTTACTAGAATGATTGATAGAGTGTATTTGTTAAGTCTTGTCACTAGTAGAGGCGGCTCTACCAATCAATAAATATATAACAGGCTAGGTGCAACTGATGTCTACAATTTGACATGTAACTCAACTGGATGAGGCCACGTGTACCCAGAACCAAAGGTCACAATATAACTAGTGACACTATAAATACTCTACCATGTACCCCAGACAAAGGCTAATGCAAGAATTGAAACAAGAAACCACATTTTTACTCTCTCTTTCTTATCATCTTGCAACACAATACGAATCTACGCATATTTACATACACATTTACAAATATCGATTGGTAATTATTGTACAATCGATTAACGAACATCCCGTCGGATTTCGAACGTTCTCATCCCGCGCCGTTGAGTTACTCCCGCGCCGTTGATCTGTCTGTTTAGACCGTCCACGTGTCTTAGCGTGTTGAACTTTCGCTCACGTGTGTGTGAGTGGGTCCGGCATCTATTGGCAACATTTTCTGGGGTCGATAGATTGACGCCGTCTGTGGAAAACCATACTATAACCACGAACAATCTTATGGTGAAAGCATGTTAAAGAGGAACATTTGGGCATCCCCCTTGAAAAAAGATCTGTTCTTGAAAAAGAATAAGAGGAAGCCCCACGACTTAGCAAAGATCTGAAGGGTAAGACACAAGGAAAATGAGTTCGAAAGAAGATATATCCCCTAGGAGGGTAAGAGAAAATGCTAATGTGCCCCCTGGAGCAGCAGCCCCGAAAACTCGGCATAGACCCCATCACAACAATTGAAGAGGTGGAACGCGTGCGACGGCCCGGCTGTCAAGAGAAATGGACGTCATGGCAGCTAATATGAGGGACATTGCTAGCCAAAACATGGCTATGAGGGAACTTATAGCCCAAATGCAGGGCTAGGGAGGCTTCCCTATTCCTCCATATGCCCCTTAAGGGCAATACCAGCAAGAGGATGAAGTTCAAAGCCATAGGGCTACCTCCCCGGACTATAGCCGAGGTGTGAGCCCATTTGAAAGGAATGTAGAAGTTGAGGTTTCCTCCAACTACGCTTCTGGCCGACCTACCGAGGCCCCTTTTCACCATGATAACTTTCCACCTCCGTATGAGCAAGAGCAAAGACATAGAAGGTCAGGCAGTGTATTTAACAGAATCAGCCCCGCTGAACCGAGGCTCGGACAACAACAGCATCACGAGCCTTGGACAAGGCCACCGCCTCCACCTCCAATGCCTCAACAGCCGGAGGAAAGGCATGAAAATGTCTCCCGTGTTGTTCCGCCTAGAAATAGGCGCTAAATGAGAGAGGAAGAGGCTAGGAATCGTCCTGGAATCTCTCACCAACAACCGAGGTATGAGGCTGAAGAAAACGATTCTGATGAGCAACAGAGGTCCTGTGACTTGGACGATAATGATGAAAACTTGCCATTCTCAAGGGAACTAAGGAACGCCCAGGACCCGAACCACTATGTTATGTCAAAAATACCAAAGTATGACGGAAGAGGCGACCCAGAAAAGCACCTGAATGCTTACAAAACTCACATGAGCCTAAGGGGCGCCACCCCAGCTATGAAATGCAAAGCTTTCTATTTAACACTTAGCTGAGCATCTGAAATTTGGTATAGTAGGTTACCACCTGGGAGCATAAGAAGTTGGCCCGAATTCAAGACGACCTTCTTGAAGAGGTTTGCTATGAGCAAAGAGGGAGAGGCCCCCATCCAACGTCTCCAAGACATGAGACAGGCACATGGGGAGTCTCTAAAGAGCTTCCTATCACGTTTCATCAATGAAATGACGTATTATGTGCAAGTCACCGACCGTGAAGCGTTATTTGCATTGAGAGGAGGTCTGAACATTAACACCCTGTTCTGGAGGGACGTGCAAAATCAAGACCCCACCACCTATGATGCCCTACTCGAGATGATGAGACGAGAAATCATCAATGAAGAACTGATTGACCATAGGAACAATTCGAATAGAGACCTCTCACCTCCTCAAAGGCAGCGTGCTAGAGGGCCGACCTCCCACTTGATGGACTACCAGATGAACCAAGGTGGTAACGAGAGCTCTGGGCAAGCACTGGCCACCACCACTCTTAACGCTGTCCCTACATTGGCATATGAGGATATTAACCCAATCACTGACACCCAGCAGATGGGAACTCCGTAAGGATTCCGTAGAGGTAGAGGCCGAGGTTCAGGACCTAGAAATAGGTCGAATCAAAACCCACCTGGATACTGTGTACACCATCGGTCCTATGGACACGACACAGCAGATTGCCGAGACTACGCTCACCGCTCTCGACAAGAATCCCCAAGGGACAAAAATGCATCGCCCCAGGCGAATAGGCTCCCGCCAAGGTACGATAACCGACCTGGGCGTGAAAAGGCCGCTCCAGGTTAAAGGGATGTCTCTCCACGACGAAGGGAGCGTGATGCAGAGAGGCCCAGGGAAGGGCACAGACATCGAAGAAACCCAAGATGAAACCCCTATCCACGAGGTGGATACCATTTTTGGAGACCCTTATGCCGGTCAAACGCGAAATGCCAAAAGGAATTATGCCCGTGAGGCCAAGTGCCCCCCGTTCACTAGCTATATTGTAGGCCACAGCTTCCGAAGAGATCAAGTTCTACCTATTGTCTTCACCCAGGAGGACATTGAAGGGGTTCACTACCCTCACTGCGATACACTTGTGGTAAGAATTGGCTTAAACGAATGTTATTTGATAATGGAAGCTCTGTCAACATTCTATTCGGATCCACCTTTGACAAGATGATACTGGACCATGAGTTAACATCCACCACCACTCCTTTGTACGGATTTACCGGAGACAGCATTACTCCGAGAGGAAAAATCACACTCGCAGTAGAGATGGGAGAGACTTCCCAAACCACGATGAATTTCATGGAATTTCTCCTTGTTGATAGTCGATCAGCCTACCACGGATTATTGGGTAGACTAGCCCTGAAAGAATTGGGAGCTGCCACCTCCATCCATCACCTATACATGAAGTTTCCGACTGAAAACGGGGTGGTAATGGTGAGAGGCGACCAAAGAGGCTCAAGAGAATGTTATTTAAGCTCTATCAGAGAGGTAGAGCCCCGGGACGTCCACGTAATTATTGCCGATGTAGTCATGGCTAATGTCCCAGGTGATGTCCCCACCGAATCAGAAGATGTCGAAATGATTGATGCACCACCCAATTCGGAAGTAGTGGTCATCGATGAAATTGACCTCCGTATAATTGAATACGAACCTCAAGCATCCCCAGTTGAGGAACTTGAGAGCTTCTCTGGGGACCCCCGGGACCCGTCCAAATTGTTAAAGGTGGGCAAAATTTTGTCCATCACTGCAAAAGAAAAACTCAAAGATTTCCTAAGTAGGAACCTCGATATCTTTGCTTGGAGGCATGAGGATATGGTAGGCACAGACCCCAAGGTCAGTTGCCACCACCTGAAAATTGATCCTAAGGTTGCCCTGCATAGACAAAAAAGAAGAGCCCTCAATCTTGAGCGGTACGAGGCCCTGAAGGAAGAAGTTCAGAAACTCATCCAGAATGGCTTCATCCGGGAGGCCACCTACTCGAGATGGGTCTCCAATCTAGTTTTAGTAAAGAAACACAACGGCAAGTGGAGGGTGTGCATCGATTTCACCAACCTCAACAAAGCTTGCCCGAAGGACAGCTTTCCACTTCCAAGGATTGACCAATTGGTAGACTCCACGGCTGGGCATGAGTTATTAAGCTTCATGGATGCATACTCCGATTACAATCAAATCTCCATGCACCCGATCGACGAGGAACACATATCTTTTATCACAGACCGAGGCCTTTACTGCTACAAGATGATGCCCTTTGGGTTGAAAAATGTCGGAGCAACATATTAAAGGCTCATCAACAAAATGTTTGTAGACCTCATCAGCAAGACAATAGAGGCCTTTACTGCTACGTAGACGACATGCTGGTAAAAAGTTTGGAAGCTGGAGACCATATAACGCACTTTAACAGTACCTTCCAAATCTTGAGAAGATATAGGATGAGGCTCAACCCCCTCAAATGCGCCTTCGGAGTGGCCTTCGGCAAATTCTTAGGATACAAGGTCAACCAGCGTGGTATTGAAGCCAATCCTGAGAAGATTGAGGCCCTATGCAAGATAAGGTCCCCCCAAAAGCCAAAGGAGGTGCAAAGCTTAACTGGACGAGTGTCCGCACTTAGCCGCTTCGTCTCCAAGGCTACGGATAAATGCCTCCCATTTTTCAAAGTGCTAAAAGTTGGGAAGAAGTTCCAGTGGAATGAGGAATGTGAAGACGCCTTCCAGGGTCTGAAAAGGCACCTAGGGCAGGCCCCCATCCTCTCCAAACCGAAGCCCAGTGAAATCCTACAGCTGTATCTAGCCGTCTCCAATGAGGCCATCAGTGCAGTTCTAACTCGAGAAGAGGGAACCACCCAACTCCCTGTCTACTATACAAGTAAAGCACTCCTATCGTCGGAAACCCGCTACCCCAATATGGAGAAGCTCGCTTTGGCCTTGATCACGACTTTCAAGAAGTTGAGACCCTACTTCCAGGCCCACACCATCCACGTGCTAACAAATTTTCCCCTAAGGCAGGTACTCCAAAATTCAGATGCCTTAGAGAGATTATTGAAATGGGCGGTAGAGCTAAGTGAGTTTGACCTCGTGTTCAAGGCTAGGGCAGCCATCAAGAGCCAGGCCTTAGCTGACTTTGTGGCAGAATTCGCCAACTTACCTGAGGTGGACGAAATCACGGAACAAGCCAAGCCCCCAACATGGAACCTATTCGTTGATGGGTCGGCTGGGGACGCCGGCTCAGGGACTGGAGTTGTCCTCATTAGCCCAGAAGGTCACAAGCTAACCTTGGTAGTGAGGTTCGGGTTCAAAGCCACCAACAATGTAGCACAATACGAGTCACTTCTCGCAGGCCTCAGGTTAGCTAAAGAAATGCAAGTAAAGAGGCCACTCATCGGTAGTGACTCCCAGCTAGTCGTTAACCAAGTCAACGGTAACTTCTCAGCTAGGGACAAAACAGTGGCCTCCTACTTGAAAATGGTGATGAGCCTCATCCCCTCCTTTGAAAAGTTTGAGTTTCTCCAGATCCACCGCATTGAAAACGCACAAGCGGATGCACTCTCCAAACTTGTAAGTAGCAAGAATTTCGAACTACTCGCAGTAGTCCCTATAGAGCACCTTCTCATGTCATCAACCGAGGCCCCCAATGTAATGTGGGTCACTGGGACTCCTACTTGGATGCAGCCCATCGTGGCATACCTCAAACACCAGGTACTTCCCACTAACAGGCATGAGGCCTACAAGCTAAAGAGGAGGTCAGCCCATTTCCTCTTCATTGATGATGTACTCTGTAAGATGAGCTTTTCCTCTCCACTATTATGATGTGTCGGAGGAGAAGAGGCTACCTACATCTTAAGAGAAGTCCATGAGGGTGTGTGGGGAAACCACTCTGGAGGTCTATCTTTGGCGCAAAAGATATTAAGACAGGGGTACTACTAGCCTACCTTAAAAAGGGAGCCCTTGAGTTTGTTCAAAAATGTGATAAATGCCAACGATTCTCTCCTGTCCAAAGACAACCATCACAAGATTTGACCACGGTCTCCAGTCCTTGGCCTGTCTTGAAGTGGGGTGTGAACCTCATAGGTCCTCTACCAAAAGGTAGAGGAGGTGCAAGCTTCGCAATTGAGGCCATTGATTACTTCACAAAGTTGGTTGAAGTTGAATCCCTGGCAAAAATTACAGAAGCCAACACTTCCAAGTTCTTATGGAAGAATATCATACGCCGGTTTGGGATTTCCTACTCGATTGTCTCAAACAATGGTAGACAGTTCGGCAACAAGAAGGTTAGAAGTTTATGTGAAGAACTTGGCATCAAGAAGTACTTCTCCACACCTCACCACCCACAAGCAAATGGCCAGGTTGAGGCTGTGAACAAGACAATCAAGCACGTCCTGAAAAGGAAGCTCGATGTGTCAAAAGGGCCCTGGGTGGATGAGCTCCCACAGGTTCTTTGGACAATCCGAACCACCACGATGACCCCAACAGGGGAAACACCTTTCCTCATGGCATATGGGACCGAGGCGATGAGCCTCGTCGAGGTCGGACTTCCATCCCCGCGACGTCTGCATTTCAGTGATATAACAAACGATGAGCTTCACAGGTGCGACCTTGACTTCACTGAAGAAAGGAGAGATGACGCCCAGCTGAAGCTTGGTACATATCAAAGAAAAATGGCGAAGTACTTCAACTCAAAGGTGAAGAAGAGGTCATTTCGAATCAACGACTTGGTTCTTAGGAGAGTTGTCCTCTCCTCTGAGGAACCTAGCACCGGTTCCCTGGGCCCGAACTAGGAAGGTCCATATAAAATCAGAGAGGAGATCCGACCCGAGACCTTCTGGATTGAAGACATGAACGGCAAGGCACAACCCCGTCCATGGAACATTGAGCACCTCGGAATCTATTATCAATGAATGTACTACCTCGCTGGACAATCTTTCCCAACTTATGTAACATTTCCATGATTCAATAAAATGATCGAATTCATGTCACATTACGTCATCACCTCGGAGAAGAGGCCAGCATCCCATCTTTGAGCCACCTCGTCTGAACTCTGAGGCGCATACACTTGCCTCCCTTTGGCGAGGCTGAACGCCACTGGGAGAAGCCTCAGCGTAGCTGAACCATCCACCACGTTGGGAAGCGTCATCACCTCAGAAGAAAGGATAACGTCCCATCTTTGGGCCACCTCGTTTGAACTTCGAGGTGTATGCACTTGCCTTCCTTTGGCGAGGCTGAACGCCACTGGGAGAAGCCTCAACGTGGCTAAACCATCCACCACGTTGGAAAGCATCATCACCTCGAAAGAGAGGACAGCCTCCCATCTTTGGGCCACCTCGTTTGGACTCCGAGGTGCATGAATATGCCTCCCTTTGGCGAGGCTGAACACTACTAGGAGAAGCCTCAGCATGGCTGAGCCATCCACCATGTTGGGAAGCGTCATCACCTCGGAAGAGAGAACATCGTCCCATCTTTGGGCCATCTCGTTTGAACTCCAAGGCACATGCATTTGCCTTCCCTTGGCGAGGCTGAATGCCACTAGGAGAAGCCTCAACGTGGCTGAACCATCCACCACGTTGGGAAGCGTCAACACCTCGTTTGAACTCCGAGGCACATGCACTTGCCTCCCTTTGGCGAGGCTGAACGCCACTAGGAGAAGCCTTAGCGTGGCTGAACCATCCACCATATTAGGAAGCGTCATCACCTCGGAGTAGAGGCCAACATCCCATCTTTGGGCCACCTCGTTTGAATTTCGAGGCGCGTGCACTTATTTATCTCCAAGACTCAACCACTACTAGCTTCACTTAACTACCTTTTAAATTAGACAACAATATTCCCAGTTTGGCCGAAACACGGTCCAGTTTCAAGATCCATTCAGGTAACAATTATTAAGCTTAAGTACAATTCATTTGCTTAAGTCCAACTGTTTATGGCTCGTGAGGCTTGCGTACAATTTACTTGATCAAGTGATTGGAGTTAGGATACCAAGTTAAAGTTATTTAGTTCTTCAATCAACATTAAGTTCAATTGCTTGATGAGGCCAATGTACTTTGGAGAAAAACAACATTAAATGAAAAAGGATATTATATTGATTTACAATCAAGATTACAACTGGGGGGGGGGGGGGGGCCAGG